CCTAACTGTCAGGGTGGTTAAACACTGGAATAAATTGCCTAGGGAGGTTGTGGAATCTCCATCTCTTGAGATATTTAAGAGTAGGTTAGATAAATGTCTATCAGGGATGGTCTAGATGGTATTTGGTCCTGCCATGCGGGCAGGGGACTGGACTCGATGACCTCTCGAGGTCCCTTCCAGTCCTAGAATCTATGAATCTATAAAATGAATGCAAAATTTGGCCAATTGTTCGTTTCTTTTACCAGTAAATGTTGGTGTGACTGGGGTCCCAGGGGAGCCAACTGAGGTCACTCAATTAGGGTGAACTGCAAAGAATGGGGCAGACAATCCCCAAAGCTGGTGGATATTCCAATATCTAGATTTACCACGCCAGCACAAAACAGCTTCTATAATACCTCACTGGTTACACAGTTCACTTAAAGTAACCCAGCCTCAGGCCTCCACCCAGACACCCAAGTCAAATATGATGAGGATTACTGAAAATCTTATTCATCATATAAAAAAGTTCTACCAATCCCAAAGGATCAGACACATTACCTCCCAGGTTAATGAATATTCCAGATCTTACCCAAATATATGCTTACAGCCAACTCTTATTAACTAAACTAAAATTTGTTAAAAAAGAAAAGGGAGACAGAATTGGTTAAAAGATCAGTATACATACAGACTGAGTACAATTCTTGAGATTCAGATTCATAGCAGAGATGGTGAGCTGTGGCGGAAAGAGTTCTTTCAGAAATTGTTCATAGTCTAATATTTATATTCAGGGTGGTCCAGTCAGGACTGGGATCTCAGTCCTTATGGCTTAAGCTTTCCCTGCATGAAGCCTCAAGTAGAATCTGAGATGACAGGATCAGGACCCAAGGTTTTTCTAGCAGTCACTTGACCATACAGTCCTAGGTGAACAATAGGCTTTTGATGTAACCTTCTGTTTCCTAAACCTCACCAGTAATTAACTACATGGATTAACATAAGATAATTTATCTATTAGGCAGTCTATCACAAACTTTAAAGAGACATATAGACAATGACATTATTGCATTCAAGATTCAGCTAAATGTTAAT